TCCACCAGCTGGCTCAGCGCAAATTGGTCTGCAATCGGGGTCTCTGCAAATGCTCGAGCCTGTTGCTGAGCTCCATGTTGGAGCTGCTGTAGGACGTCCTGAATACGAGCGTCAACGCGATGCTCCAGAGCCAACGGGTCGCCGTAAGTCTGCTGGATGGCGAGGACAAGCGCGTTGCACCGTACGTTGCCTCTTCTTGGGCAGCCGCAACACGTTGCTCGACGAATCGCCGCTGCTCTTCTCCATACCGAGACTGTAGATGCTGGAGCTCGGCCTGATACTCTGCGATACTGTTCGCTTGTGCAGACACATGGGCAAGAGCCCCCCCAAGGCGTTCACCATCGACACGATAGTGTTCCGGCAGCTCGATGATCGGGGAGGTCATGGTGGTCATCCATCGGTAGTGAACTCGAGTTGAAGTTGTAAGATGCTGGAAGCGCAGGCCTAAATCTTAGGTAGCCAGAATAGGTTTGGCCAATGAAGTGCGATAACGTGAGCCAATGAGAGACGATGATTGATGGAACGAACCGAGTTCTCTCCCAGGTTTGGTTCGGTGACTTTTTGCGGGAACCGGGCTCCCTGCCCAGTTCGGGTTCGTAAAAGACAGTAGAACCGTGGTTCAGGTTCGGTTCGACCCAGGGATGCGGTTCCCTTGGACAGCCAGCGAGCGAGTCATAAACCACAGTATTGTCCATCAGATGAAGAAGCGGGTTAAACGACACGTTAGAACGCAAATGCGACCTCCCGTGAAAAAAACAACAACTCATGAAGTGGAGAAACAGAAGTCAGAGCGATTCATGGGTCATGAGGCAACAGAGCCAATCCACAAAGCAACCTTGGGGCACACCAGAACTCACTAACGGACTACCAAGTATGGGTCACATACCGAATGGCGGCACAACAACTCAACTTGTACTATGCAGGTCCAAACGACATAGTCGGATGCTTTCCCAATACCAGTTGCAGTAGACCTCAAAGCGAGTTACTGAGTATATCGGTGAATTGTAAGTCAAGGATCAAACGCAAGGTGACTTCGGCGAATGCCACATCTTTGATCAACTATCTCATAGAGGGTAGCGCACTGAGTGAAATGAAAAACTAAGCAATGGTCACGAATTCGCTAGGTCTCTTCGTGGGCTGCCGTGCCTTTGGCGAGTCATTGAGTCTTGCCCGCAGAGACTCGCATAGTGACGATTCGCTTAAGCCACAGGGGGGTTTCCAGGCAGCTCCGCTTCATCCGAAGGCGACGAGTCGAAGTCCGCCACAGGTGCAGTCGGTGTCGCCTCCAAGCTACGGCGCGCACTGTCACGACCACGACGTCGACCCGGACCAACACTGGGAGATTCGCGGTGCGAGCTGCGGGGCACAGGGCGGTTCACGCGCTCACGGTGAACAACGAAAAGTGTGGCGAGGCGGTTGCGACGGTTCTCTCGGTAGCGTCGCTGTATCTCTCGGCGTTCACTGCGAATACTATCGCCAATCTCGGTCAGACGCTGTAGGTAGCGGGCATAGCTGTCACCGTGTTCACGGCGAAGAGGGTTTGCGCGAATATGGAAATTCGTCAACGCCACACAGACTTGGAAGTAGACATCATAGTTGTCTTCGTCCCAGCGATACTTGTCGGCACATATCGACCATAGAGTACAGAGACGACCAAAGTAGTTTTCCACTATAATGCGGTCA